GTAGAAAGGAAACATTTCTGTTCTATATTAAGGGGATGAAGGACACATGGTCACATGACTCTGTTTAACTACGTCATAGTCTCCGTTTATATAAGTGCAAAACGTGTAAAGCATCAGTTCTTGTATAATTTTTTGACAATTTTTTTAATTTTAATTGCCATCTTATATAAAAAGAATAAAAAAGTTTTAACATTCTTGTAAACATTAACAAATTATGAAAAAGATTGATCCACTCCTCTGTTTCCCTAAACTGCGCGTCCAACAAGTCGGTGACGTCATACACGATCTGTTAGTACAGCAAGATCATACTCAGTGAACATAGGGGCGGTATTATTATGTAAAAACAGGTCATAATCAGTATATGATGAAATATTTTGAGAAACGGGGAACACAAATATTATTTCTGAATGGCTGATGACGGAAATCTTATGTAGTTAATCTTATTTCGCTTATTTATGTGTGACGTCATAGTTGGTTTTTTCCCGTACTCGAGAAATGTAACATGACACGTTTTTGTCACGCTTATGTCCTCTTTAACGATGTCCTGTGAAATAATGAGGTCAGCTTCATCATTCGAAACTTTTACAGTTAATCAATAATTTGAAGGATTTGCATTTCAACGTAAATTAAAAAATATTGAATGATAGAATTTTTTGTAAATTACGTTTTTTATTGTTTAAGTTGTCTTAAAAAGTGCTTAATTTTCCCTATCCAGATGCAGTGTGATAGACAAAACTTGCTTTTTCGAATTTTAAATCCTAGGTATACTCTGAAATATTTTAAAAGATACATTTCCACTTTGATATTTTTTGATGTATGCTTAAAAATTCCCATTATGGACAGAGTAATGCGCCCGGAAACATGGAGAATTAAAACTCCACTTAGATACTGTAAGGCATAGTATTTGTCAATCAATATCTCTAAAATAAGGTTAGAAACCTAATGATATAACTGCTTTAAGATATGTGGGACATACTTAATTAGAAATATACAAAATATGAAAAAAATTGAATGACAAGTATTTTTTCAGCTCAAGGTCCTTCTCCTCCTTAAATGCGCAAATGTTCTTTGAGATATGTGCATTTTGTAGATCTTGAGTAATTTTTCATCAGCTTTCTTAAAAAAAAATTTAAATGTCCCATAAATATTTTCATGTGTTTAGACTAACTTATATTCAGTCTCTGTAATGCACTGCTTCATAAATTTCATATCAGTGTGCAAAGGTTTAAAAAATCACTTTGAAAAGAGGTCTGAAATGTAAATTTTCTTAATTTGGCAAAATTCCCAAATCACCAAATATAAGAGTTATTTTGACATTATGTAGAATTACAGTTCTTAGGAAATTCTTATGTAATACTAAAGAGAATGATAGTAGTTTTTATACAAAAGTAGGTTTTTTCATTCTCTTGTTTCTTATAAGTTCTGTTTTATTCAGTAAAACCTATAAAATCGCGTTTTTTGGTCATATTTTAGGAAGAATATACAGGGGAAAAAATATGTGCCGTTACCATAGCAACGAAACACTTTTTAAAATAAAAAATTATAAAATCATTAATGATGTGACAGTATGAATACACACAAAAAGTTTTATCAAAATTGAAAGGGTAGTGTGGCCAGGCATTTTTGACATTGTTTGATAATTACAGAGAACTGATACTAATCTTTTAAAAATGTAAAAACTGAAATAGAAAAAAAAGTTATAGAAATCTATAAATTTAATACTTAATGAGGAAAATGTTGCTAATACTACTGCTGGACGCCCCACTTCATGCTGACACTAAAACGACAGATGATTCAATGGAACTTTTTTTTATTTTCGTTTTTAAAATTTGACAATTGTTCCACATATCCTTATACTTTATATGGAGTTAAAATAAGTCAGTAGGTTGGTAAATTTCCAAAATATCTCATTATTATCAAACCAGTTACAAAACGGATGCCGCCCAGACGACCCCCCCCCCCCCTCCACCGCTTTTTTTTCTGGGCTCTATTATCATGATTATATGTATGTAAGTGTACAGGTTTTTTTCGTATTTATTTCAAGTTAAATTTCTTAGAGCAGGAAAATATTCCTTAATATGATGAATGGATGAAAAAAAAAATGGATTAAAGCCGAGGCTCTACACATAAAAAAAGATACTTGCTGGATTAAAGTACGTGCATGTATAATTTCGCCACTGCAAGACTTTTTTTTTTTTTTTTAGATTTTCTTTTTTTTCCAGATAATTTAAAAGATTATTTTTCTTGGAAATGAGATATCTTATTATTAAGCTTAAAATTTACTATTAATTGTTACATGAAATAAATATTTTTTTTTTAGGTGTGTATCAAGAAATCGAACAGATGTTTTACAAGTAATTCAAAAGATCTTCATGGACCTGAAAAACATTTAGTATTTAAAATATATGTAATCTATGGATAACATCGTCTAAAACCATGTAATATACAGAAAAGAAATAAAACACAGACATATTCTTATGATAAAATACAACGAAGAGCGATTTTAGAAAACATTTCTAATTTTTAATATAGAAACCAATCCCGATTGAAATAAAACCGATCCCGATCGAAATTAATGCATAATTATTAAGTAATAAAATTAATGGTAATTGCCACCTAGAAAACATGTTTAAAAATAAATCAAGCAATTTGTAAACCATATTGAAACAAAACAACCAAATTTCATGATGAAATCATAGTAGCTTTCTTCTTTATATAATTCCGGTCTGGATCGGTTTAATTTGGATAAATTTATAAAAAGTAGATAATTTGACGCCTCTTATTTCACTCAATATACCTGTTCTCACCATTTTTTTAAATTGATTCAATAATTTGTACTTTGATTTCATAATAACATGAGGAGATAGTTCTGACATTTCAATGTATTGGATTTTAGAACGTAATGAAAATTGGATAGTGACTTCATTAAGTCACTTGCTTAACTGAAGTTTAGACCACATAATTTTTTCTAAAGAAATATAAATTGGTGTCTTATTCATTGATATTATAAAAGATTAGGGTTTATACTATAAATAATATTTATTGACATATTCAGTTTTTGAGTATCTGTTTCAAATAAAACAAAACAAAAACGTAGCAAATTTTTAACCAACTTGTTGACCTTTTTGCACTGAAAATTAAGCACTTACCAAAAATAGGACTAGAGGAACACTAAAAAAAATCTTGATGTTGCCATGTGTAAACAATTGCTTTTATAAGTCTAAATGCAAAAAATAATTAAAATCCATGACATGTGATGTGCCACCCATTGCCTGGTTTTTTGGTGGACTGCCTCTTAAGTCGTACACGTAAAAGTAGAAATACTAGTCCATATAAACAATGTATCCATTTAAAATTAATCATCAAATATGGACAAATTGAAGACAAGCGTGGATTCACTCAAATTCAAAATAAAATTCGTTGAACTGTATTATACGATATATATTTTTCTCCAATATTCATTTGTATTTCGATTGATGCAATGTTTATGTGTATTAGGAATAGAAAATCCGCGAAAGGGGGGGGGGTGTTATTATCCCCTGGGAACAGGCACGTATCGTTACAAATGAACATTTAAAAAAGCATATGTCTAGAGGCTGCCTTAAGATCCCGCCCCCATTTTTACAGCCAATCCAACCCTGATAACCTATGCTCGGCACTTAAAGGTCCATTGAGCAGTGAGGGATCTTTTTCGTGCCAGCACCTACTGGGATACGGGACCTCGATTTATATGGTCTCCTCCGAAGGACCGGTCTCCATGGCCACGTCCCGCAGTGGAGTTCGAACCTGCGACGTAAGGATCGACTCCTTACTCCGCGACTCTAGAGCAGACGCTCTTACCACTGTCCCATGCAGGCGACGATTCCATAAGTGAAAGATGGATTATTTTTTAAAATCGACTCAAGTTGTAAGATAAAAATTACTGTATTTTTTTTTTATAATATTCTAATAATATACTCATACCTAAACTACTACTGAGAAATCTGCCTATATTAGTAAAGAAAACACATTTTCTATCTTCTTTTGATTTGAAAAGTTTTTTTTTTAATTTTATTTTACCTGAGTGTCTTACTTAGCGCCAAGATTTTATTTTCTCACAAAACTCACAGTTTACCGAGGCATATCCAAACGCAATACAGCAAGACATTGGTTAATCTATCAACTTATATTCCTCGTCATTTGCTAATCCCAACTTTTCTAGCTCATATACATTTCACATAAGTTGATTTCGAGTTATTTTTCCATCGAAAGTACAAATATATATATTTCTAAACAATGCACCTAATTTCTCTACCTATTCTTGACAGGTATCAGATTAATGTTAGACATTTTTTTGTTTGTTTAGCCCTGGCAGCCCCCCTGCCACCCCCCCCCCCCCCCGTTCCTACGTGCCTTCTACGTTAGTTTGTACATGTTTCAGCTAATATTCCTGCAAAAAAGGCTAATATTCTTACAGACCTATGACAGTCAAATGGTTAATCAAACATAAAGATATTACGCTCTCTCAAAATGTTTCTCCCTTGCATCTACGTAGAATGTGCATGCTGAATTCATTTTAACATATCCTGGAAAAATTACGATCTGAAATCCCAGATCAGTATACACTTCTAATCAAAATACTTTCGCTATTACAAGATTAACATGAAAATATAGCCCTGATCGCAGATAATTGTAGCTTGTACCAGCTTAAAAAACTGTACAATATCCACCATTTCTCTACGTACTCTGGATGGAAACAATATTTATTTATTTAAGAAAATAACCTTGATCCCAGACATTCTTTGTCACCTACCTCTAGTTTCATCAAACTAATAGTCCAAGACAATACCCTACCTCCTATGGAGAGTCAAAAATAAATTTAACCTGAAGATATGTCCCTGATCTCAGAGCTTTCTTCCACCTACCTGTACTTTGTACCAGATGATAGCCCTGTTAAATATGCGCCACAATCCTATCTGCCATTGATACATACAGAATATATTTGGTATTGATAATATTACCTTGATCTCGAAGTGTTTCCCCAATCTACCTGTAGCTTGTACAAGTAAATAGTCCAGGTCAAAACTCCCTAATACCCTATCTTCTATGGAAAGTCACTATGTAAATTTTACATGAAGATATATCCCTGATCTCAGAGCTTTCTTCCACCTACCAGTCCATTGAACCAGATAATATTCCTATTAAATACGCCACAATTCTGCATTCCATTGATATATGCAGAATATGCCAATATTAGTAAAGAAAACACATTTTCTATCTTCTTTTGATTTCAAAAGTTTTTTTTTAATTTTATTTTACCTGAATGTCTTACTTAGCGCCAAGATTTTATTTTCTCATAAAACTCACGGTTTACCGAGGCATATCCAAACGCAATACAGCAAGACATTGGTTAATCGATCAACTTATATTCCTCGTCATTTGCTAATCCAAACTTTTCTAGCTCATATACATTTCACACTAGGTGATTTCGAGTTATATTTCCATCGAAAGTACATATATATATATTTCTAAACAATGCACCTAATTTTTCTACCTATTTTTGACAGGTATCAGATTAATGTTAGACATTTGTTTGTTTGTTTAGCCCTGGCAGCCCCCCTGCCATCCCCATCCCCCCCCCCACCACCACCCCCTGTTCCTACGTGCCTTCTACGTTAGTTTGTACATGTTTCAGCTAATATTCCTGCAAAAAAGACTAATATTCTTACAGACCAATGACAGTCAAATGGTTAATCAAACATAAAGATATTACGCTCTCTCAAAATGTTTCTCCCATGCATCTACGTAGAATGTGCATGCTGAATTCATTTTAGCATATCCTGGAAAAATTACGATCTGAAATCCCAGATCAGTATACACTTCTAATCAAAATACTTTTGCTTTTTACAAGATTAACATGACAATATAGCCCTGATCGCAGATAATTGTAGCTTGTACCAGCTTAAAAAACTGTACAATATCCACCATTTCTCTACGTACTCTGGATGGAAACAATATTTATTTTATTTAAGAAAATAACCTTGATCCCAGACATTCTTTGTCACCTACCTCTAGTTTCATCAAACTAATAGTCCAAGACAATACCCTACCTTCTATGGAGAGTCAGAAATGATTTTAACCTGAAGATATGTCCCTGATCTCAGAGCTTTCGCCCACCTACTTGTACTTTGTACCAGATAATATCCCCGTTGAATATACGCCACAATCCTACCTGCCATTGATATATGCAGAATATATTTGGTATTGATAATACCACACCGATTTTGACGGTTTCCCCAACCTACCTGTATCTTGTACCAGCTAATAGTCCATGTCAAAACTCGGTAATACTTTACGTTCTATGGAAAGTCAAAAGTTAAAACTTACATCAAGATATGTCCCTGATCTCAGAGCTTTCTCCCACCTACCTGTACTTTGTACCAGATAATATCCCTGTTAAATATGCGCCACAATCCTACCTGCCGTTGATACATACAGAATAAATGTGGTATTGATAATATTATCCTCATCTCGAATGGTTTCCTCAACCTACCTGTAGCTTGTACCAGCTAATAGTCTAGGTCAAAACTCGGTAATACCCTACCTTCTTTGGAAAGTCACTATATAAATTTTACATGAAGATATGTCCCTGATCTCAGAGCTGTCTCCCACCTACCTGTACTTCGTACCAGATAATATCCCTGTTAAATATGCGCCATAATCCTATCTGCCATTGATACATGCAGAATATATTTGGCATTGAAAATATTACCGTGATTTCGAAGGATTTCCCCAACCTACCTGTAGCTTGTACCAGCTAATAGTTTAGGTCAATTCTCGGTAATACTCTACCTTTTATGGAAAGTATCTTGATAAATTTTACATGAAGATATGTCCCTGATCTCAGAGCTTTCGCCCACCTAGCTGTACTTTGTACCAGATTATATCCCTGTTACATATACGCCACAATCCCATCTGTCATTGATAGATGCAGAATACATATGTTATTGATAATATTACCTTGATCTCGAGTGGTTTCCTCAACGTACCTGTAGCTTGTACCAGTTAATTGTCCAAGTTAAAACTCGGTAATACTCTACCTTTTATGGAAAGTCAAAAGTTAAAACTTACATCAAGATATGTCGCTGATCTCAGTGCTTTCTCCCACCTACCTGTACTTTGTATCAGATAATATCCCTGTTAAATATACGCCACAATCCTACCTTGCCATCGAAAGATGCAGAATATATTTGGTAGTGAACAGATTATCCTGTTCTCGAAGGATTTCCCAAACCTACCTGTAGCTCGTAACAGCTGATACTCTAGGTAAATACTTAGTAATGCCCTACCTTTTTGGAGAGTCACACGATAAATAAATTAAAGTACATGTAACATCGAAAATGGTGTATGCCTATTTACGATTCGTATTCAGTTTAATGTAGTTTTAATGTAGTCTACTTGTGTACTAAGATCACAGGTCAGTAGATCGCTTATAAAAAATTGAGGTGTTCAAAAAGTTAAGGTATGGAAGTAATGGAACTATTTACATAGAGTACGCACTTTCGCCAATAAAATATTTTAAATCAAATGCTTTACAATTTTACTTTCTATCCATATCTATTCATATATAAACAATCTTCATAACAACCAAAGTTCATTTCGAAATCCCGTATACTTTCCGATATATTCTGAAACCCATTTAAAAATTGACCTTAGTTTTTTACTCGACATCAGCTGGGGCCTTTGAAAAGTTACACTAACTGTTATCGGGAACGACGGGACAAATTTTCCCCGGAATTCATTCTATATCCCGGTGAGCTTGAGATAAAAGATACCACGAAGTCTGACACTGTTTCATATTTGGATATTTTAGTTAATGGTCATCTAACAACCAAGCTTTATGATAAACGTTATGACTTTAACTTTTCAATCGTCAACTTCCCTTACTTATGCAGCAATATCCTTCATCACCTGTATACGAAGTTTATATCTCTCAGTTGATTCGATACGCAAGAGCATGCTCTACGTATGTACAATTTCTAAAACGAGGTAAATTATTGACAAATAAGTTGATGAAACAAGAATATCAGCTGTCTCGTTTAAAGTCATCATTTCGTAAGTTCTATGGTCGATACAATGACCTTGTCAGCAAATACAATTTATCATTGAGTCAAATGCTGACTGATGTTTTTCACACTTATTGTTAGGCCATTATTTACACACTGAATTGTCGACGGATTTTTCTGTTATTTCCCGATGATGACAAGGAGCACACGGCGGGTGACCGGTCGGCAGGGGATACTCACTCCTCCATGGCACCTGATCCCACCTCTGATGTTTGGAGGTCCGTGTTTGCTCTGCTCCTATTTTGTATTGATTAATGGACCTTTGAGCTTGAATACTGTTCGTTATCTCCATATATTTCATTGTATGATCTTGCTTTGTCACCAAGAACATTTTAGCGGTCTAATTTTTTTTTTTAAAAATTGAGAAGTATATTATACATTCTGGGAAAATTCGTTCAATCTTAGCTCTTTTTACATTCATAAACAACATGGCGGTGCAGTTGTTGATGCAGACGTTTTCTATTTTTTTTCGCGAAAGGAATTATTACGGACTTAACCTTATGATATGGAATAAGAAAAATCAACTTTAAAATGTTGAAAGATTGTGCAAGTACTATGCAGCTTTTCGTTGCACTTCAAACACCGTCTGTATACATGTGAATGACCAATTCAAGCTAATTTCGATTAAAAAAGTAGGTCAATTTTTGAAATTGATTATAGAATATCTCGGGAAGTACATGTATATAGAATTTCGAAATGAACTTTGGTAGTAATAAAGATTGTTTATGTATCAGTAAATTTAAATAAAAAGGAATTTTTTTTTAAAATCGGATTAAAGCGATCCAAAGGTCTGTGATTAAGATATATTGAAATCAGACCAAAACTGTAGGAGGAGTAGGACTTTGAAAAATTGTTTATAGACGGACGGACGAATGACACACACCTTACTTTTGAATAATCTCTTCTCGTCTTTGACCTGTAGCGCTAATAATGAGAAATGCTCAGGTCATAAGTACCGGTAATCTTTGAGTGAAATATAGACAACAATGTTTTTCCAATAGAGAACAATTTTTTGTTCGTGAAACACTGATGCTTCGTATGAAAGCTTTTGGAGAGGTTAAAGTTTCTCAAATGCAAGTCAAACTTTAAGAGTCAAGGGATGAAAAATTTTGTTACCCAAAGAAAGGACTTGTTCTCAATGAATATACTTGTGAAATATGAAAGCCCAAAGCACTAACCATTATAAAATTACGCCAATGTTTTTAAATGTGGATCAAACTCAAAGTTCAAGGTCAAAGGTCATTACTATTTTTATATCCTTGGAAAGATCTTATAATAAATACATGTGAAGTATGAAAATCCTAACATCTACAGTTCAAAAGTTATGACTACGCTTAAAGACTGGTAAATTCTTGCAAAATTGAGTCAAACTTCAAGGTCTATAATTTTTCTATAATTGACTTTGAACTCGATCAAATGACCTTAGGCGAAGATCATGACACAACTTCAGATCATAAGAAATCTGTGTATGAAGTAAGAAACTCCAATATTTCTGGACAAAGAAGTTCCAGACCAACCAAAAATTTTAAACATGATATAGCTTTTCTGTGAATGACCTTGATATTACCAGAATAACCTTGTGTTAAGGTTAAGACACTCGGGTTATAAACAATCGCTGTACAAGGTATGAGCAATATCTTGGACAAAATTTCAAGAACAGACGGGCAAGGTTATTCCTACATCTCACTAAACTTCGATTGTGGGGAGTACTAGTATTACAATATAAATATTACATAAAAAACTTGTCCAATTGTTTCTACTTCTTATGCCCCCGGATCGAAATATCCCGGGGGTATATGGTTTTTGTCCTGCCTGTCTGTCTGTTTATTTGTTTGTCTCTCTGTCTGTCTGTTGTCAACTTTAACCTAGCCCATAACTATTGAGTGGGTAGGGCTATGGCTTTCATATTTCACAGGTGTATTCTTTGTAATACCACACTTTAACCTTGGCCATAAATTTTGAACAGGTGGAAGTAGGGCT